ATATTTAAAGTTGTGTATCATAGTTTTGCTTGATTTTAGAAATCTGGTGGGCTTTCGAGCCATCGAATGTAAATTTTTCGTGCAAATTCCTGCGAAAGTTATTCGGCTTTCTGGCGAATATTTTCAATTCATCGTTTATATTGGGGCTATTATTCTATTTAATCTGGTCCTAAGCGGATTGCAAATCAGTTTCCCCGATTGAATATTTTGTCTAGTGGTGCGGTTGCCATAGTGACCTCAGTCGGTTTTACGCACGTGGTATGTATTGTAAATTTTGTTTTCTCTTGGTTGAGATGGGCGCGAAATGTTCGCATAATTAGAGTTATTCGTTGGGATGTTGCTTTAATTGATAATTAGCTGATGTAATTAATGGCGTAGGTTGTGTTCCCGAACTACTGGTGCATAAGGGTAGTTAGTTATTATCCTGCTCTCGTAGTAAGATTAGAGAAGAACGTTTTCCGCTTCGGGCTAATGAGGTTGTTGTATTGCCTCACTTCACATAACGGCCTCGATCGGGGCTTAATAGGTAAACGCCATCGTAAAGATTTAACGCCTGCATATGGACGGATAAGTCGCTTTTCATTGCCAATTAACTTAAGATTTAATGGTGAGACAAACGCGAAATCGACGATTTGCTCCCTACACTCGATCATGATTTTCTTCAGTAGTAAGGGATTCCTTATATCACTGGAAAGCATAACTACACTTTTGAACTTTCATAAAATTTAACTACTTAATGGTAAATAAACTTATTATTTGTATCACAAGGACAGAAACTGTCATTTTGTATCGTGTGATACACACTAATTTTTAGTCCTTTCAATTTTAAAATGTCTCAAAAGTTAAAAAAAAATATTTACTTTGCGCTAAGAAAATTAAACTCCAAATTATTAAATTAACTATAAATTAAATAAAATTATTCAATACATTAAATATTTACTATAAAATTAAGCCGCTTGCCGTTTAAGAAATATCAACACAGATGTCAACGGATAACTAATATTGGCAATATTTGGTAAATTTTTTGATGGCCTAGGGCATTAATAAAGCTGTTTTCGGATGATTTTGACGAATGCAAAATCACGGTTACAAAATCAATGCTGCTGGGCGGAGGACTAAAAAACTAATTATAAAGGGTATAAAGTAGATATTTAAATAAAAATATTTTAGTAGTTTGTTGGTGCATAACAATATTAAATGAGAACTCAGATAGAAAATATGTTATTAAAATTTATTCGAGTTAGATTTTTCTAACTAGATTTATGTTATGTTACAAGCCTGAATATCACTAGGTAGTTACTAGCTACTAATTTTCAAACCGTTATATTTTATTTCTGTTTTGTCAGTTTAACTTTTTTTAATTTGGAAATTTAAAGGTAATAGTTAGTTGCATTACAAGGTAGGAAAAAACATTTACCTCTAGTGTAATACATATAATTTTTCAACGACCTAGCAAGAAAAACTTCAAAACTAATTTCTCTTGATATCCCAGTTTTTTCATAAAATCCAGCAGTCTGTTTTTCCGTTTCTATGGGGAAAGTAAAATTTTTACCTTCTAGTCACTTTCCTTTCTGAAATTATGGTGGAAAAACATACTTAGTGTTAGGACCGCAAGAAAAATACTTTAAATTAAATATTATTTAGTTTATTTAATTAAACATTTATTGTCTAAGAACGAGCGTTAACACAATTGTTGGTCTAATGCATATTGACCACTTTGATTTGACATTTGACAACTTCTAACATTTTCGTATTAAAGTCAAAAATTAAAGCTTCTTTCTGGCATTAGGTTTTTATAGGACTTGAATTACGATTGTTATGATGATATAAAGGGTTTAAGTTTGCCCCAAAACAGTTTTACTCATTAAAAATGAAATTACAAATAACTTACGTTACGGTAAGGTACACTTTTGACGTACGTCACTAATTCTGTGTTACTTTAATCTTGTTTGTTAAAGTGAGATACACTTGAGTGCAAAAAAAAACGCAAATTGTTTTTTTTTTTATAATGTAATTTGTCCTGTTAATAAATACCAGTTTTTTGAGGTTGTTTTTGTCACAATTTACAATTTCGCATCTTCCAAACTTCTATCAAGTTTTTCCATGTTTTTCCATTTTGTGTTTAACTGACTATGACACTGCACTGGCAAAACCACCAACCAACCAACCGACATTTTTTTGATTGTTTTCTAACCTTTTTTGTAACAATTTTTTTCACACTATGTCAATCTCTGAAAAATTTGACAATTTTGTTTTTGCCATAATTGTAAATAGCGTGACCGACTTTACGCAAATACGTAGCAAGAGAGCAACAGGGCTGTTAAAAAATGTTGAAAAGAGATAGCGATTTGGTACGTTTTTCGAATTATTAATCGATCCACATGCATAATAGTTATTTGCACAACTAATTTTGAAAGTCATACTTTTTTCCCAAATGAGTGAAAAAAGAAGTTTCAAAACGAGGTGTACACAACATTTTTTGCAAAGACCAAAAAGATATCAATTTGATTAATCAAATTGTAATGTATCGCGAGTTCTTTGTAACGAACTCTATAGGTAGTAATAACTATAGAAATATAACTACAGAATCGTTTAAAAAAGTATAACTTTCTATACGATTAATCGTCATGAAAATTCAACTTTAATAATCACTATGTAAAAAAATAAAAAAAAGAACTTTAATTTATCAAAAAGGTAGGCACTTCCTTTTTACCAATTTTTCAGTAGTTTAGAAGTAAAAGCAATTCCTTTTTACCAATTTTTCAGTAGTTTAGAAGTAAATGCAATTATTTAAAAAAAAAATCAATGCAATTGTTGCATACTGCCCAACTTTATTTTCAGCCAATTTACATAGCCAATTTTAAAATTCTTTGACTGTGAGCTAGAAAATCCAACTCGAGTAAACTTTACCTCGACGGCTCAATGTATGACCAAGAGGCCTCAAAGAGTTAATCGAATATGTAATAACGTTGTGTCAAATTATTTAAAAAACCTACATTGTACAAATTAAAGAATTAAGAAGTAACAAGGAAAAAACTTACCAAAAACAAAAAACAGTTTTTGCAAATTTGTGTAAAGAAGTAGCTATTTCTCACGTGTGAAAGCCAAAGTCATCGTAAAAGTTTTGAAACAATTTTTCAGAGGCTTATTTGTTAAATATGTTCTATTTTTGTACAAGAAATTAACATTAATACAAAATAATAAAAAAAAGCTATTAAATAAAAAGGGGATGATTGATTATTAATTATTAAACTAAGCTGAAGAAGAATTTAGAACTCACAATAATTTCAAGCATGATCGACAAGCAAAATTTGTAGCCCTGAAAGTCAATTTATATTAATTTTTTTTCTTGATAATTAACGTTTAGAAAGACACAAATTTTAAAATTTATTCAAATAATAAAATGGATATATTAAAAAAAGAAACTACGAATCAATACATTAGAGTGTACAGGGTGCTGCATTTTGGATGTCCGAATAGGGAATCTCCGAAACTAAGAGGTTTAGCCAAAAACGAGTAATACATTCTGGGGCTCATTTTTTGAGAAAATAATATTGGTTAAAACCGCATCCCGCTATCGTCTTTTGTTTTCGACTTATAGACCAAAATTGACATTTTAGCGAAATCTAAAAAAAATCATATCTTCGTTATTATAGAAGACACAGATTTGAAATAAAGACATTATACAGGCACTTTTTTACGAGGAATTTAATAATGTAGTTAACAATTTTTTTCAGTTATTAGTTTAGCCGTAATAAGATAAACTTGTATTTTTTTAAATGGAAATTATAGGCGGCTATGGCAATTTTGAAAAGCTTATTTTTTTCTGATCTAAAAAATATATATTTGTGACAAAATATTTTTTTATAACTATACTTAAAAAGTGAAATACATATTTTGTGTGATAATAGTTGGCCATGGAAAAACTATTTCACTCCAAATGTGTAAATAATAATCAATAATAGTTTTGTGAACTGTGAAATAGATGAAAATATATGTAGATAAAATTATAAAGATTTAAAAAATACGATACGGTAGAAGCATTGAACAAATATCCGAGCGCCTCAGAACAAAATTATTACATATTTTTAAAAAATCAAAAATAGGGAAAAACAATTGTGTCAACAATCAATACAACTACAAAAAACATTTTTCTGATGATCTAATGGAGGTAGGATAACGTTTCACATAGACGGAACTTGGGTATTTGAATAGCCATGTCGTCATTTTTGTGTCATATAAAATATATTTTATTGAAGAATTAAAGCGGCTTTTTTACAACACTCTATGTATCACTAGAAGTTGCAATGGTAATGTTAGCTTGTTTAAAGACAAAGAAATGTTATTAGTCGCCAATAAGTTAATTTACAATTTATTTTGCATCTTTTTCATCACTTAGTACTTAGAAAACTCTTTCATTAGTGACATTGGTTGAATATAATATAGTTTAAATCCTTTTAGTTGAAGATGCAACATTTTTTCATGGCCAACTGCGAACAAAAATCAAAGATAATTTTTTGCTAAAAATGTATTATATAATAATTTGTAACAAATATATATTTTTTAGATAAGAAAAAAACAAGCTTTTTAAAAATGACATAGCCATCTATGATTCCCATTTAAAAAAATATAAGTTTATTTTATTACGGATAAACAAACAACTGAAAAAAATAGTTAACTACATTATTAAATTCCTCTTAAAAAGTGCCTATATAATGTCTTTATTTCAAATCTGTGTCTTCTATAATAACGAAGATATGAAGTTTTTTAGATTTCGCTAAAATGTCAATTTTTGTCTCTAAGTCGAAAACAAAAGACGATAGCGGAATGCGGTTTTAATCAATATTATTTTCTCAAAAAATGAGCCCCGGAATGTATTACTCGTTTTTGGCTAAACTTCATAGTTTAGGAGATTCCCTATTTGGACATCCAAAATGCAGCACCCTGTACAGTTGGAGACAAAATACTTTGGTCGTCAATACCACTTGAGTAACATTAAATTGTAAAGCATGCTTTAGGACTGTTAACCTTATTTTTAACTACTGTCAATTATAGTTGACAAGTTGTACACATTTTTGATAGAAAAATATAATAGATGTCATTAATTTGAAATTGACATTCATTTTAACGTTAAAGCTTGAATTACATTAAAGTGTCAGAAAAGTGACGACCAAAGTATTTTGTCTCTAACTGTAGGCCCTACAAGAATCAGCCTGATATCACTAAAACTTGTTATAAAAAATAGTCTGAAATAAAAATGTTTAAACGGCTAATCTATGATTTCAAATTTTTTATACTCAAAAATTTTAAAATTAATAAAATATTATGGACATTGTTACTTGTGTTATTGTTGAATTAAAAGTAAGTTTACAGTTTTTTTATACTTTTTGTATTTAGAATTGCTTTCGACATTATATTTGTTTTTATTTCTATTTTTTTCGATAAATTTATACCGCAATTGGCACAAATACAGTTAAAACAGAATTCGTATATTCTTATTGATTTTTCCCTATCGCTCAACCCTTTCAGTACAGAACGAATTAACATGCAAGCTTTCCATTCACACATACTTTGCAAATGTTTCGTTAGGTGGCGCCGTAATTCAATTTATTTCACCGTTATCAAAACAATTTTCAATAACTTTAAGCATGATAGATACTTAATTATTATAACAGATTATAAAAATGGCGTAACAGAAGATTACAGAAAAATTTATTAAGTAAAATTTATATCAGGGAATTTCTCAGTCTGACATTGCTTTATGGCAATTTGCAATCGGAAGAGAGTCATTAGTTGAGTGTCTGGAACACGCGTGTCCTGCTGGTCGAATGCCTCCGTTGGCACAGCTTTTGATTACAACCTGACGGCGCGAGAAAATTGAGAAAGGGGATGCAGCGGTTTCTTTGCCCGGCGCATCCACCAAAAGTCAACCAACAAAAACATTTTTTTTGTATTATTATTGCACTAAGTGTTACTTTACTCGTAAATAGAAATGTTTTAAACAACGTGTTATAAAAATTTACTCAACACTTTTCCTCCCCCTCTATAATATTTGCAAGTGTCAGTCGCCGGCACCCCCACAGCGCGCCTGAGATATCAACTCCCCAAGATATCACCAGCAACAGAAGGCAAGACTATAACTTAATTACACACTTTCCCACCTCCCGTTCGCGGCTCAACTCTCACCCTTATCACACACCTCGAACTATTCACACCACGTTTTCAACAAACAACATTTTTTTCGACACTTTTTCGAATTTCAAAAGCTATCGTTATTCATCAGGGACGCTTTTATGGAGTAATAAAGTGTGTCCTCGACTCTTAATACTCGGAATTTATCCACGTCTTAAAGAGGGTAGGTTCTCGCGAAGTAGGCCATCATCACAGACTTATCCCTGCCATTCTCTTAATGTATTCTCTCTGTGAGTGGGATTTCTACCAAGGAGACGACGCAAGATCAAAATTCGGTTGAGAAGGTTAGTCACAAACAAAAAGTGTCCCAAACTGATAAAAAAGTTGTTTTTTGTTCTAAATCAATTTTTGAAATGTTATTCGGAGACTAATTTAAATCAAAACCAATTATTAATTATTATTAGTTATTTAACTTGTAATTAGTTTGTTATTTTTTTAACTTATTGGTGGTCATAAAAATATAAATTTAATTTTTTCAGTGTTAAAATTATACCGTTTTTTAATTTAAATAAAATCGTTGGAAACTTTTAATTAGGAGAATGATTTGAAATTTTGTTTGTGCGGAGTTGGTCGAAGATTTACGAAGCGGTCTCTCTTGGGTTGCATCCCTTTAATAGGACGTCGACATTAGTCTTGCTCCATTTTAAAGGGTTTGAATAATCGCCGGGGCAACACCTAGACTAAACCCTTGCAAGATAAATGTCATTCCGCCCCTCATTACGGTGGCAATCAAGTGAACCGGGAATCTATCTAAGACTTCCTAAAAATCCCCGGTATTGTTAACACCGAACCGTCGCTAACGAAGTTTTTCCTTGAAGGGATTCTAACGAAGTTTTTCGCTTGTAAAAGGGATGTTTTTTACGCGCCGGGCTTATCTTTAAGGGCGATTTTAATTCGTCGCCCCCTCGCGTTTAAATTGCCGTATTTACTTCGGTGCTAAGCTTCTTCTTTTCGGAATTAGTCGTTACTTATCCAGGGTCCGGAGTCAATTTTTAATTAAACTCCGGATTTTTCCGGATCGATAACAAAACACAAACAAGACGTTATTGTAACGGGAGACATAAAATACACCAAAGCTGCCTGCAATTGTAACCTCGAACGTATCACATGATATTGCAGCGGACCAGCAAAGTCGTGTTACTGAGGATAAGGGAAAGAAAGTAATGAGCGAAAGGGTTGATTCCAAGACGCCTCATTGGTCGGGCGGGGCTGCCTCAGACCTCATTGGTGCGCCACAGGACTGCTGCTAACCTTTAGTATCAAGATCTATACCGAGATCCTGGTCGCTGCCTTCTCCCAGGATTCTAGTTTGCAACTTATTGTTTGCAGGAAATATGAGATTATGAGGGTTATTATTGAATACGCGCACCAGGAGACTTCGCCAACTTAAGAGGATAATGACGTTTTTGCTTCGACGATTTATGTTAATTAATCAATATAGAGTTCTTGAAAAGTGGCAATGATGACATTTTTTGCAGGCATTGCTCATCATCTGGCAGGACTTCCGGGACCTCCGCCCGAATGGGCCATGTTAGGAGGACGACATCCGTACCCCCCAGGCCCCTTTGTTCCTCACCACCACCCGCACTTTCCACCCCATATGTTTGCAGCGCTCGACCGTCCAATTAACACTTCACCGAGAATAGCAAACGGTAAGTACTTAAATTTTTAAAACAACTTAAAATGACACTGGCAATGGAATTTTACAAGTAAGTGGTCCTACTTTGCCGTAGTATACAGGGTGTCCTGAGTTTTAGGGCCAGCGCAAAAATAAATATTTTTAATTGATTAAAAAAGAATTTTGATAATGTAAACGATATAGGATTAAATAAACTTCAATTCAATGTTTTGATATCGGACAAAATTTTTAGCGTATGGTGGTGAGACTACTGAGATTTTAAAAATCAAATTTGGACAAAAAAATTCAATTAATTGGAATATTCTCTACATAATAAAATTCTTTGATTTTTTTCCTGTAGTATTTGTGAAAACAGAATAATGAA